TTCCTAAAGGTGGGCTTTGGGTAGGCCCCAAACAGTAGAAATTACTTTGTTTATTGCTTTCTCCTGTAGACAGGAGGAGAAAGCATTAATTAGTTACCAAAACTGTAGTAAGGCTTTGGGCACTGCAGCTGCTAAGCTGCTCAAACCTGAAGGGAGATAGATCTCACTTGTTCCTATGGAAACACTTTGCTTCTCCCCTCCCCCACTCCCCTTCTACCGTGATCTCTACTGCTAAAGGTTTAAGTGTGGGGCTCAGGACTTCCCATCACCAGGGGGGATGAGGGTAGCTCTACACACTCATCTCTTTATGCTGGGGAACTTTAGGAGGGGAGGAATTAAGATGTCAATAATTTGCTAGACACAGGTGTCTCTGTGCCTAGTTCTGTGGCAGGAGGTGGTGTGGGACTCAGGGATGGATAATGAAGGTACTAAAAATGAAAAATGTGGAGCCACAGAGGACAGAAAGAAACAGCGCAACCATAGCCCGGATGCTAGGGAAGTACACAGGCATGGAGCCAAAGAAAGAAGGGAAAAACCTTTCCACTTATCCACTTACCTAGTCTGATGGTCACTGCAGCCACTTCTCCCCGCTGGAAAGTAATAGCTTATCTTGGCAGCAGTTACTGTAATCTTTGAAAGGCTAAGTTAACTCTTAGGGCTTTGAGCAAAACCTGAAGAAAAGAAAGACAAGTATAATAAAAAGACTGTATATTTCATTTCTACATGTATGTGGGCACCTTCACTGGAAAATGAAGACCCAAAGAAGTAGCTAGAGTTGAATGCTACGTAGTAGGTTGGACAAAGGGTGGTAAATTGTAAGAACGTGACAAAACAAAGGGGTTTGGGCTAGGGCAGTTAATTGTGGAAACGTGACTAGAGAGATGAGGATCAGTTTAACAAGTTTGTACAGATTTCTCTCAGCCTTCAGTCCCCTTCTCTGGTGACGAGAATGTCTTCCTTCCTCCTGGTACAGGGAGGGCACTTTTTAAAAAAAATTTTTTTATTGTTATGTTAATCATCATACATCATTAGTTTTTGATGTAGTGTTCCATGATTCATTGTTTGTGCATAACACCCAGTTCTCCATGCAGAACGTGCCCTCTTTAATACCCATCACCAGGCTAACCCATCCTCCCACCCCCCTCCCCTCTAGAACCCTCAGTTTGTTTTTCAGAGTCCATCGTCTCTCATGGTTCGTCTCCCCCTCTGATTCCCCCCCTTCATTTATCCCTTCCTACTATCTTTTTATTTTTCTTAACATATATTGCATTATTTGTTTCAGAGGTACAGATCTGTGATTCAACAGTTTTGCACAATTCACAGTGCTCACCATAGCACATACCCTCCCCAGTGTCTTTATCACCCAGCCACCCCATCCCTCCCACCCCACTCCCCACTCCAGCAACAGGGAGGGCACTTTTCACGGGAGTTTTATCTCCTGCCTTCCAGAAGACAAAGGAAGGTCAGAGGTCCCTTCTTGCATGTGCCATTTTTAACTTCCCTTTAACTCACTCAAAGTAACCAATATGCCAGGACAGCATATTTTGGGGTGATAGACCCTGAACCCCTGCATTTTGTTGCTGAATTAAGTGTGACTGCATATGGGGCGCCTGGGTGGCTCAGTTGGTTAAGCGACTGCTTTCAGCTCAGGTCATGATCCTGGAGTCCCAGGATCGAGTCCCGCATCGGGCTCCCTGCTCGGCAGGGAGTCTGCTTCTCCCTCTGACCCGCTTCCCTCTCGTGCTCTCTCTCATTCTCTCTCTCAAATAAATAAATAAAATCTTAAAAAAAAAAAAAAAGTGTGACTGCATAGTAGAAAGTAATGTGGATGCTACATGCTTGTAATTCCCTACCTCCCAGGTAGGGAGGGGATTGATACTCCAATCACAAAAAGCTACAAATAGAGAAATGTTAGTGGGACATGTATTAGAATGCATCTCCATGACTGATGAATTATGCTATAATTTTTTTGCTGAAAAAGAGCCTCTGGAAGTTCTAGTGATGGTGAGGTGAGAAAATACAGTTTCAGCTGCTACCTCAAATCAAGGTTTTGTGTCTGTTAACTTTAGTTATAAAAATTTTTTTTCTCATAGTTGTTTAGGATTTAGAAGTTCAGTTGAAAGTATCCACCAGTCATTCACAGCTCTCAAGGTTGAAGGAACATTAATTGTTTATTGTTTCCAGAGAGATTAATATGTCCTCTTGAAAATTGTTTTCGGATTTTTATTCTGAAAGACAAATTTCACTTTTCTTTGATTCATAAGATGTTCCTCACTTAAAATTTTCAGCTAGAGAATTTCTGCAAAGAGTGACTATGTAGACATTTCTCATGAGCCTATGTTATTTTCTTGCTCCTTTGCGGTTGTTGGGATTAATTTTACACAAAATTGCATAAACCAATTGACCAAGAATATAAGATCGTAGAAAATTTTTATTTATTTATTTATTTATTTATTTATTTATTTATTTTAAGATCGTAGAAAAATTTGAGAGAAAGGAAACTTCAAGTCATAGATATGAAATGGAAGGTTAGGTAATGTGTTTGTCTGCCCAACTCACAAGGACATTTTGTTGTCCTGGGTTTAATAATGTCATAGCTAGCCTATAAATCAACAGACTTCATGGAGATGCTACAACCCAGCTTAAGAAAAACCTATCTTCAAAAAATTAAAGTTAAAAAAAATAATAATAATAAATAAAAAAAAAAAAAGAAAGAAAAACCTATCTTCAAAGAAGAATTCCTGCTCTGCCAAATTGGAGAAGTTTATAATAGAACACCCAAGGATAGGAGCTATAGTCCATGTGTCTTCATAATTCTATGAAGACATAGAGGTTTATTTGCTATTTATGTTTTTTTTTCCTTTCACCACTTGCTACAAAAAAAATATTCACAATTTAAGCCCCCACCTCTCCTTTCTGGAAACTCTCATTTTAGCTAATGTATTATGTGATATTCAAAGTAGTGTTAGAATAATAGTGTTCTGCCCTGTTAGGTAATAAAGATTATATAGATAAAATTGGCTCTCAATTTTGTGTGACTTTTGCTTGGCTTTTGCTATAACACTCTGTTTTTATAACTATACATTATTAGAGTTACTTTTTTATAGTGCTAGAAATGTCTGCATTTCACATTATTGCTATTATTATGAGGAAAGTATTAGGGATGATTAGTTCTATTCTCAACAGTGAAATCCCTATATAAGAAATGGAAAGCAAACAACAAAAAAAAGAAAAACGGAAACTCAAGCAAATATAGCTGAACATATGGACATACGTGATTATTTTATTTATTCATTCAAGAAATATATATTGAATGCTGACTATGAGCCAGGTATTGCTTTATATACTGATGATACAGATGTAAACAGACATAAACCACTTTTTTTTTTTAAGATTTTATTTATTTATTTATTTGAGAGTGAGTGAGAGAGCACAAGCTGGTGGGGAGGCAGAGGGAGAGAGAGAAAAGCAGGCTCCCCGCTGAGCTGGGAGCCCAACGCAGGGCTTGATGCCAGGACCCTGAGATCATGACCTGAGCTGAAGGCAGGCACTCAACCGACGGTGCCACCCAGGCGCCCCAGACATAAACCACTTTTAAGAAGCTTATACTCTAGAGGGAAGAGTCAGAGAATAAAGAAAATATGTAAGTAAAATATGAACTATATTAAAGGGTGAGAAGTGCTACGGAGAGAGATCAATTAGGGAAGAAGTGTGGGGGAGATGAGGATGTCTATTTGATTTGTGTATGTTTCCCAGGAGAATGTACGCGACCTGAAGGCAGGAACTCTGATGATACTTGTCACCAGACCCTAGCAGATACCATTACATGTGGCACTTCACAAATGTTGAATAAATGGGTGGATAAACTTGGCGTTGAATGAATCCTCCCCTTTTCCTTTTCATATTACTTTATATAGTACTTATATACAGCGGTCCCAAGACCTCCAGGAGATGCCTGAAACTGCAGATAATGTCTAACCCTATATAGAGAACTATATTTTTTCCTATACCTACATACCTATGATAAAGCTTAATTTATAAATTAAGCACAGTAAGAGATTAACAGCAATAACTAATAAAAAATAACAATTATAACAACATGCTGGAATAAAAGTTGCATGAATGTGCTCTCTCTCTCTCTCTCAAATATCTTATTGTACTGAACTCAGCCTTCTTGTGATGATGTGAGATGAAAAAAGTCCCAGAGTGATGAAATGAAGCGAGGTGAATGACATAGGCATTGGGATGGCTACAAGTGACCTGACGATACAGAAGAAGGAGGATCACCTACTTCCGGACTACAGTGGACTTAGAGTAACTGAAACCGCGGAAAGCAAAATTGTGGCTAAGGCGGGAGACTATGTATATAATTTGCTTATTAGTTATGTTCATTATTTATTGTCTGCCTAACTTGGCAAGAGCATAACCTGCACAAAGGTAAGAATTTTTATTCATTTTGTTCATTGATACATCCCAAGCCCCTAGAATTTTACCTGACAGATAGTAGAATTTAATAAATATTTGTTGAATGAATGTATATCTTTCTGCCAACACCTCCTCTGATGGCTGCTGACAAATTCACAATTTGGGTGCTCAAGAATCCTGTGAATAAAATGCTTAAGAAGCTAATCCTGATGCCAAATTCATGGACCGTGGGATAGCAAATGTTAAAGTGTATTTACCGTATACTTATTCAGCTGTCAGTGGCCCAGTGTTTTCTCTGTCCTTCAGATTTTCAAAAAGGGCCTGGTCAAGAAAACTGTAACATTCACTCAATTTTTTGAAAAGTGAAGTAAGAGTATGTAAATATAGATGAAACAACTCCTTTAGTAGACTTGACAGACCTGGGGTGGATGTTTTCACTGGAAAGGGACCATAAGGGTTTGTTGCTTTTTTGTTCGCATTAACTGTTTTATATCCTTTCTCATCCAAGATGCATGGCCATATCCACAAGCTGTTTTCTGACAAAACTAGTGGGAAACTTATTTTTCAGTCCAGGACTTTCTTTTGGTCTCCTGGTAAAAGGATCAGAGGTTTTAAAAAGCTGCAGTTTACACTTGAAAGAGCCACGGACAGCTCTAGAAATGCAGCCTGAGAATCATAGTTTAGGAGAATGATGCCTGAGACTAAATGTCCAGTATTAACACAGTTTTAATGATTAGGGCATGAAAGTCAACTGTAGAGGATTTTCCTTCCTGGATGTCTTGAAAGACCTAGAGGTTTGCTGACAGCATTTTGAAAATATTTTTGTTCATTATTTATAGGTGACTATTATGTTAGACTTTAGTTTTTTAAGGGCAAGACAGACTTTAAAAAAAAAAAAAAGATTTTATTTATTTGAGAGAGAGAGAGTAAGCCCAGCACATGAGCAGGGGGAGGGGCAGAAGCAGACTCCCTGTTGAGCAGGGAGCCCAGGAGCATGACCTAACCAACTGAGCCACCCAGGCGCCCTGCAAGACAGACTTCTCTTAAATCACAGTCTACCTAGCACCATGTGCAGGTGGCAGGTATTCTTACAAAGAGCGAACATCTGTGAAGCCATTTCCAGATAGAAGCCTGTGGGCTAATTTATTTCCATTGAAAAAGTTATGGCCATTAATAGAGAACTTAAAATCACATCCCCACCGTATCTACTTTGTGTAAGAGTAGGATCATCATAAATGTTATAGATTAACAAAATAACATTTTTCTCTATGAAATAGCCAAGTGGAAACACCTCTTATTTGCAAAATCCATATTATAAATAATATATAAATATATTTTACATATTTATATATTTAAAATACATATATGTTTTATATATTTTTATATTTTTATACATAAATAATATGGTTGTTAGAAAATTGCCTATTTGTAAAGATTTTTGTTGTTAAGATGAATAATATAATTTTATCTAGAAACTAGATCAGGAAAACCACACTAAATTTGCTAGTGCTGTAAAATAAGTCATTTTAATAATAAAGACACATAAATAAAGTGTTTATGACAGAAACAATAAAGTTGTCTCTCAACCCCATACAACACTGAATTTCCAAGTAATTTGTAAGGAATATATTCATCTTTTTACATTCAAAATAATGGTTGAACAGTGATGATTATCATTTATTCTGACTAATTTTCTTTTTATATTCTATGAATTCACACAGTATTACAGTAATTTATAGTATTACAGTGCTTGGTAATCTTGAAGATATGAAATAAACTTCTAACAGTATATAGAAAATAAAAATAAAAGTCATTTGTATAACTTTTTATGAAAACAAAATAATATTTTTTCTGTAAAATAAATTATGTACTTTACGTTGAAATGTCATTCTGTTAAAGTGTTTAGAAAATAGTTACATTCACGTTTTGGCAGTGTGCTCAAACATTCTTATTTGCCATTCCCTCATGCGTGATAAAATGAGGTGCAAGCTGTTTACACAGGAGGAAACAGCTTATTTTCACAGGAAGGGAAATGATACGTGAAATGGAATTAATTTAAAAAACCAAGTATCATAAGATGGAGATACAATAATTCACTAAGAGAAAATATTTTTCAAGGCCTTTTGAGGTGAGGCAACCTTTGTACTTGATCAAAGGTACTTTTCATCCTGCTACCCTGTAACTTGCATGAAATTAACATATTCATGGCTTGCAGTTTAAAGCAAGTGTTTGGTCCTTCGTCGGAAACACAGCAGCTGAAATCCTTAAGGAGCACTTTCACAAAGGAGCAAAAGAAATCAGCATCTCCATTCTCCTCCACGTGTGGCTCGCAAGGGTAGCACCTTTGGCACTGAATAGCCCTGTTTTCCCCGTGGCCAACACGCGAAAGTAAGTCTGGTGCTTATGGCCGTGGTAGCATCGAGCCAGATTTGCTGGTTTACCTAGAAAACAGCTAAAAGACTAAGACCGACTTAAGTTTAACCAGCCAGGAAAAAACGTGTACTTATCCACGGTGATGGCAAACATCAGAACGGCAATTTGAAAATGAACCTGCTTTCTGCTGTTGCTTCTTGGTCTTACTTTTCTTCTGCTTTTTCTCAGCCTTATTTTTGCTTGGCTTCTTTCTCTTGTGTTCCTCTTTATACCATGGTCCCCAGACTCCCCCATTGAGCCGAGGGTTACTCCTGGGGTCTTTGGGGGGGTACCTGACAGGCACTGCGGTTTTGTTGAACTGCGAGAGCCTCCGCAGCAGCTGCTTCACGATTCCAGGATACCTGTGAGACAGGTCCACTCTCTCATAGGGGTCGGCTGTGATGTTGAACAGCCATATGCTTTTGCTGGTCGACAAGGTGATTCGTTCGTTGTGCCAGCGGTTGGGCCCCAGGTTGCTGAAAGACTGAGGGGGCACCCAGTCACTGTAGCCAGGGTTTCCTGTAAGCAGTTTCCAGTGCTGCACCCTGATGGCTGACTGGATGGCGGTGTTCCAGATCCCGTAGCCTGCTGCCCAGGAGCCATTTTTTGCCTTGGTATAAATGGGGTCAATGTTGTGCAAAATATCCACCCGGGGCGAACGAAGGCCCTCACTTATGGTTTCCCAGACATCGTAGCCATCCAGCTGAATGTCCTCATCAATCTGTCCTTCAGCCAGTGAAATCAGAGTGGGGTACCAGTCGGTGATGTGCACAAGCTCCTTACACACGGTTCCCTTGTTTTTCAGAAGTGGACTATGCACAAAGCCGATAGCCCGAATGCCCCCTTCCCAGTATGTCCCTTTGCTACCTCTGAGAGGCCAGTTACTTCCTCCTGCTGTGGGCTGGCCACCATTATCTGAAGAGTATATGATAATGCTGTTGTTATAGAAACCATAAGTCTTCAGGGCCAGGGTCACATTGTTGATTGCTTCATCTAAGCAGGAAAGCATGGCAGCGTACCTCCGCCTATTTATGTTGATAATGGATCTGTAGTGTTCAAAATACCTGCCGGGGGCTTGCAGTGGTGAGTGAACAGCTTGGTAGGCAATATATAGAAATATAGGCTTTCTGGGGTCATGAGAAGCTAAGATTTGCTGAACTCTTTGAGTGTACATCTGTGTGGAGTAGATGCCATTGTCATAGTCCCAGGCAGCGTTGTCATTTTCATACAAGTCATAGCCACACATCCCAGGACTGTCACATTTGTAGTGCGTATAGTAATCACCACTTCCCAGGAGGGAACCAAAAAAGGTATCAAATCCTCTCTTGGTGGGCATACATTCTTTTCTATAAAAACCCAAGTGCCATTTTCCAACCATATGTGTTGAATAGCCAACCTCCTTCAGCTTCTGAGGTAGGGTTGCATTGTCCAGAGGTAAGCAGTTGGGTTGGGTAGGTCTTATGATAGAATGTTGAAGTCCGGTGTGTATCTGATACCTTGACAAGAGTAAAAATGTGGTCAGTGCAGGATAAAAGAGGTATTACAATGATTCTTAAATTAAACAATGGTTCTGTGCGGAGAAACTTTACCCCGAATGAAATAGGACCAATTCAGCATTTCTACTGTTGACTCAGAAGTCTTAGCCTAATTAGCTTCATATTTAACATTTGAAATACAGTTGACTCTAAATTAGTACTTTTGAAACTAAGATTTTACCCCTTACCTCAAAGTGCTTTTGTTGTTTTTTTGAGAGAGAGTGCGAGTGGGATGGGGGAGGGGCAGAAGGAGAGAGAATCTTGAGCATGGAGCTCAGAGCCCTACACAGGGCTCCATCTCCTGACCCTGATCATGACCTGGGCCGAAATCAAGAGTTGGACGCTTAACCGACTGAGCCACCCAGGCACCCGTATCTCAAGTGTTTTTAAAGTTCTTTTAATGGAATTAATCTGAATAAACTGTAATCTCTTAATTAATTATATGACATAGAAAACTAATGTGATGAGGAAAAGGATACAAATGTTAGAGTAGTATTATTATTAGTTTTTAGTCTAGGGACCTCACATTAGCTTCCGAATCATTTCCTGAGATCTATTTCAAGCTAATTCTGAAGCACTAAAAATAGAAGCAAAAGTTATATAAAAGTCTGCTGTTTGATTGTCAAAAAATACTTTATAATTAGTTCCCAACCTGTTAGATCTCTGTAAAGAGAAAGGGAATTTTTCTGGCTCCCAATACATTATTTTGGGAAAACCATTTTAGAGTAAGGGTTTTAGCTAATGCTAAGGAAGGATTACATTTTCCCAAAAACAGCAGGAAACAAGTCCTTTCATATTTTTTCCAGTGTCTCCATTTAAAAAAAAATTACATTCACTTATAGTCTAAGAAAACAAGGCAAACGTTATACATTAAAATTAAGTGAATGTTAGTTTCCAGCATTGTTCTTTTCCCAAGGATATATTGCCAAGGACTTTTCCTCAGAGAATGGTTATCATCACATAAGTGTATGAATTTTCATTTGGGTCAAGATGTGTTTATTAGGTTCATGACATTTAAAAGCAATTGATTCCATAGTTATTACATAAGTTCAAAAGGACTTTTAAAATAGAAAATACAGAAATTCTGAGAAAATGAAGGTTGCAGAAGGTAGATATGAAAATATTCTTGGAATCAAGTTACAAAGAGTAATATTGAGATCAAAATAAAAAATTTTTAAAATTAATTTAACCTGCAAGGCCAACATGTCATACATACCTTGGGTGAATACTGCAATTTATTTAAATTTTCACATGATAGTATAGTGTAACTGAATTCTTTTGAAGCATCAGTTGCAGTAACCTTGATGGTTTTGTAGGATCCATAGGGAAATTCGGTCACTAATGCAAAGCAGCATTCAACATGGGGCCCTGTCTACTCTGCTGATCATTAAGCTGTCAAAGTTTCACAATTATCACGATTGTGGTCATTTAAAATGTGATAAACTCTCAAAGAAATAAGCATTTCATAAGCATTATTTAGCACCCAATTCATAAAGTATTGTTACTATCCTTGATAATTTCCGATGATCCAGTTCAGGATCCAAAACATTTACTTGTGAAACCACCGATTTTGTATGAGTACATGACAAATTGGTAACACCTATCAATGTAAGCATTGAGTAAATTTAAAAATGGAAAATCTGCATGGGTAAGAATTCTAATGAATTATTAACTAAATTATTCTATGCAGAAAATGTACTTGGCCAGCGTATCTATTCAACTCATTGAATGGCTAACCAATTCAAGTCTTTCTAATCAAACTGGGCATTTTCTCAGCTAGTCCTAAAAGCAAAAGTAATTTAGCCTTTTGAAAAGCATGAAATACAGAAAATGCTCACAAAAAGAGTAGGAAAGAAGAGGTCTGCTTCTTTCAGGAGAGGATACAGTGTTAGCAGATAAGTAAGAGACATCATCAGAACTATTAACTGTATAGTTTCTGTTTTCCCCACAACCTAAAACAGTTTTCATATTGGAAAATTTAGAACCGACAACATAAAGGTTGGGCAGCAGCTCATGAATACAAGCGATCTTCTCAGGACAGACTCTTATTAAATGGATTCAAGATTTTGGGGCCAAATTGGTGACGTTTGGGGTAGAATTTGTGGCATGGGTTAAGGGTAGAGTTTGGGGGTCAGACAGACCTGAGATTGAATTTGCTCCACTGCTTATTAGCTGTGTGACTTTGGGCAGTACTTAACCCCTCTGATCCTCAGTTTCCTCATCTGTAAAACAGGGATAATAATACATATTGGGTCGTTGTAGCATTGAAAGAAAGCATAGAATCTGATAAGGAGACTACATCAATAGATGACAGGTTTTGCTATTATTACTTCCAAGTTCTGAGTCATATGTTACTTACATATTTGTACAAAGTTTTATTATTTATAGGCCTTCTTTCACATGCATTATTACATTTAGTCCTCACTACAACAGTAAGAAGTAGGATGCTTTTACATTAATTTTATAGATAGAATAGAGATATAGAGATGACCCCCAACTCCTCCAGCCTGCCCACCAAGCTGGGAAATGATTCCTGAATGACAGGAGTTAAATCTGATGCTCTCTCTATTCAAGAGTTAAAATCAGTACTTCTTGGATGCCTGGTTGGCTCAGTCAGTTGAGCATCTGCCTTTGGCTCGGGTTGTGATCCGGGGGTCCTGGGATCAAGCCCCACATCAGGCTCCTTGCTCAGCGGGAAGCCTGCTTCTCCCTCTCCCACTCCCCCTGCTTGTGTTCCCCCTCCCTCTCTCTCTGACAAATAAATACATAAAATCTTAAAAAAAAAATAAAATCAGTACTTTTTGAAAAATCAAAGAGCAGGGGAAAAATGCCATCAGTTTTGAGAAGCAAATCTGTTCTAACTTTCTAATTAAAGAAAGGAAGGATTTTTGTAAATCAAATAGTGAGGTTTATATTGATCCCAGAAAAATCTGAGAACAATTTTTAAGTAGATGATTCGTGAGTATTTCAAAAAGCTAAGTTAGCTTCATTTTCTTTTCTTCTCTGTGTTATTTTATTTAGTTAATTTAAAAAAATTTTTAAGCTTCATTTTCTTTTTTAAAAAATGTCAGTATTAGGTAAACAGTTTAGGAAAATGATGGGCATTTCAAAAATCTGTTCATTTTCTTTTTAATCTGCTCATTTTCTTATAAAATAATGAAAAAATAACTGTATGGTAACATTGTATATTCACCATAAGAATGATGTTACACATTAATACAAATTAAGGCATATAGATAATTTTCATTTACATGATTTCTCTGGCTTATACAAGTCTGTGGATGAGGCAGGAGTGTTCCATTTATTATTTTCATCTAATAACAACAAAAACAAAAAACACTGAAACTCAGAGTAATTCAGTGGTTTGTCAAGTTTCACAGCTGTAAGTCTTGAAAAAAAAATCTGGAATCCAGATTTTTGGCATTAGAGGCTTTTCCATGAACACTCATAGATTATTGGACAGCTAGACCCATTTCAAGTTTGGATTAATTTATTTGCATTAATCTTCAGTATTTATTCATTTGCTCAGTTAAGCAGTATACTGAGTGTAAAATGTGTGCCAGGGACTAAGTTGTTGTTTGTTTTGTCTACCACCTCCTGGTACCCAAAGCTTTGATATCCTTAAGTGAGCTCTAAGTCAAGATCCTTCTTGCAATGGGAGTGACTTTAAAGTATGAGTTCTTGGGGCGCCTGGGTGGCTCAGGCATTAAGTGTCTGCCTTCAGCTCAGGTCGTGATCCCAGGTCCTGGGATCGAGCCCTGCATCGGGCTTCCTGCTCTGCAGGAAGCCTGCTTCTCCCTCTCCCACTCCCCCTGCTTGTGTTCCCTCTCTCGCTATATCTCTCTCTGTCAAATAAATAAATAAAATCTTTAAAAAAATAAAAATAAAAAAATAAAGTATGAGTTCTCTGAACCCTGGGATCAGGTGGGGATGGAGACAGTGCTTTCAGTCATGGAGAACAGCACTGAATGCTAAGAAATTATTTTCTTTCAGGAAGGAGATGGTTGGAATCCAGGGAAGAATCTTTGGCTTGATAGTGACTCTAACTTGGCAGCAGCAACTAGCTTGATGATCAATAAGTCTTCAAAATACACTACAAAATAGTATATTGATTAATTCGTTGAAGACTGCTGATCTGGGAAGTAGTCTCTGGAACAGTACAACAGGGCTCTTTCCTCGGCTTCAACACACTGGTCATTATTATCCACTATATCCATTATATCCATTATTATAATCCATTATATATCCATATCCATTATCATCCATTATTATCCATGACTTGAACAAAGAAACAGAAGAAATGCTTATCATCTAGGAGGAATAGCTGATATTATAAGTGGCATAATCAAGGCTCAAAATAATATAAATGACCTGAAATGTCAAAACAAAGAAAGTGAGACATAGATCAAAAATCAAGGAAGCGCTCAAAGAGTGAAGGGAATGTCAAAAAGATGCAGAAGCCTGAACGAGGGGGATCTCATGGCCAAATATGGGACAATGCAAGTATCAAAATAAATGATGGTAAGAAATAGTAAAAAATTATACCCACTGAATAAAATAGAAACCCTGAGTCCATACTAATATAAATAAATTGGTAAATAATAAAAGTTTGCTATGGAATGGGATAATGACATAGTCGCACAGTACCTCCCCACAAAACATGTAATAAAAGAGTAACTGTACAGCGACGCCTGGGTGGCTCAGTCGGTTAAGCGTCTGCCTTCAGCAGCTCAGGTCATGGTCCCAGGGTCTTGGGGTCAACTCCCGCATTGGGCTCCTTGCTCAGTGGAGAGCCCGCCTCTCTCTCTGCCTGCTCCCCCTGCTTGTGTGCTCTCTCTCTGACAAATAAATAAACAAAATCTTTAAAAGAGTAACTGTACAGTGAAAGCACCTGATAAACACCATATTAATCTAGCGATCAAAGTTAACATCACCAATAACTGGGACAAACCAACATCATG